TCCCCGCTGCTTCTGCCAGAGCTTTTGTTGCTCCCGCCCGGAGAAACCGTGCTCGAATCGGAGAAGCGGCGCCACGCGCTCACGCTTGAGAGAGAGTGAGTGAGTGATTTGGYTCGTCTCCGGTCTCGAAGAAGGGCGGCAACCGAAATCCGCCGCTTTTGCCACCGCTTGTAAAGGGAGTCCGTCGTCTTGTCCATGGGTCAGCAGRAGGCCCGTAAGGAGGCCGTCGTCTTCGTGGCCACTGTGGCAGCAACAGTCGTCATAGKAATAGTTGCAATCGCAGTYGTACTTGCAGTCGTAATCTTCTTTGCTGTGGTGGCGAACAAAATCGTCCTTTGTTTGTGGAACTAGGCCCGGCCGGAGACAGCGAGAGACGAGGATTCTCGAGGTTCCCGCCTGCTTGCATCGCGCTTCCGCGGTTTGGCAAAGAACGATCCTTTCGAATCGCGATTCTTGACAGAGAGAGAATCGAGAAAGCGGAACCAAATCCCCCCGATCGTTGTCGGGGCCTCCGCTCCGTGTGGCTTCGGCAGGGCACTCGCTCCCGGGGGGTTCGATTGCAATTGTTTTGGTCGTGTTCGTTGYTGTRCYAATAGTTGCGATTATTTTGTGGCTGCTCGAACCAAACCAGAGAGAGAGGATGTTGTCAGATAGGATCTTCCTTTGTTCTCGCAAGGGAGCGGGCCGGTGTGAAAGCACGTTCCTGTGAGGGATTCTCGGCGGGTGTGTTTTGAGAATGGAAAGGACGAGCCCTTGACGGTGTATGCTGGGATCGATCCCGGGCAATCGTGGAGAAGACACCAAAGAGCACTACGACCGGGGTCTTGGTCGCAATCGGCAAAGAAATCCTTCGAAGAAAGGCTTTATCGATCCCCTGCTTTTGGTCTGCCGCATCGTAGCGAAGTAGTAGGGGTGATAGCACGTACGCCCGCTGTTGCCGGCGGGGAAGGGGATGTGAGATAAGAGCTGGTGCGACAGCTTGCGTTCATGTGTCTACCGCGTGGCATGGGCGTGGAGCGAGTAGGAGGCTGACCAGTTGTTTGGCAATCCTGGCGGGGGAAGTTGCCCCCCATCTTCGGTCGGCCCTCGGAACTCGGTTCTTTTCAATTYGAAAACTTAAGGAGGCGCATGTTTGGTTTAGTTTAGTGGACGTACTGTAAGGTTTTGCCTAAGTAACTCYTGGTTTTGCGGTTCCTTATTATTTATGCCTCGTGTTGAAGATTTCCGCAGTGTTCCAATCGTGCGCCGAAGTCACACTTTTCATATCACACTTTTCATAGAAACCTGAGAKTGAATACATATCCACCCCGCGGGAGCAATTTTTGTCCAAGCGAAGAAGAATTCCGACGAAACAGAAGGAAGTGTTATGCGTACGAACCCGTACGAGCAGTTCTGATTTTTTGAGTGCGGTCATTTTTTTCTGGATGCGAYCGTATCATTTTACGGTATTAGGACAAATCCACATGCAGAGTGAATACATATCCACCCCGCGGGAGCAATTTTTGTCCAAGCGAAAAAGAATTCCAACGAAACAGAAGGAAGTGTTCCATACGAATCCGTACGAGCAGTTCTGACTTTTTGAGTGCGGTCATTTTTTTCTGGATGCGACCGTATCATTTTACGGTATTGGAAGTATCGCCCCGTGTGAATTCTGTTTCGGGACGTGGTCTAGCACAAACCCACATGCACTGAGCTACTACAACGCGAGGTTAGGTGTCTTGGTTTAACGGCTCATTGATGCCCCGCATGGATACGGGGTAGGAACAAATCCACGGTATCTATCTTCGTCCGTCGCTCTTTCACAACTCGAACCAACACTGACATCATGCACCAAACACATAGGCCTAAGAGAAGACTGGTACGACTACGTACCCCCGCGTACAAGCTACGGCTACGAGATTGCAACACTCCTATCGGCAATCTTGCCTGCCGGACCGGAAGGAWTGCGTTTTCCTTTCTTTCTTCCTTGCTTCCTTTCTTCCTCCCTTCCTTCCTTCCTCTATACGAAAGACTACCGCATTAAATACCCATATCGTTGCTTGCTTCTCTCACAAAGCATTGTGATAGCGCACAAAACAGAACGAAGGGATTGCCCCAACCCAATCTTTGGCAGACACAAAAACTACCACTTGCAAACCACAAACGCATCGTTTTTCGTGCTGTTTTGATTTCGTTAGGATATACTTCAGGTACATACTATTTGTCTCTCTCAATTTGCCATTTTCTTTGCGAATGAACAAGCAAGGTACGTTCCATTGTGAAATGGCCTTCTTGCCTCGTGCAGTGAGGTGCAGCGTAGTGAAAAGAGAAGACGTCCGACTGATCGTTTGTAGTACTTCTTTCGTATCCAACGTCACTATCGGTTTCGAGAGAGATTTACAMACTTCTAGCAGTCTCATCACAGAATTAAAACATATCCTTCTCGCTTTGCATTCTTTCTCTCACCAGTGATACAAAGCAACAYATCCATTTAAATTCAGTTCTACTTGACTCGACTCGATTCAGCACCATTCCATTCGGCTCAACACCATTCCATTCCGGCCACCGCAGCAAGCAAGCCAACCTGGAACCCATGATGCACCACATGAAAGAGAACCACCGCCGCAGAAGCATCCGCGCTGACCACCACCACGGCAACAACAGCAACAACAACAGCAACAACGACGACGACGACGACGGGCACAACCACCGCCTCGGAGAAGCGGAGCGGGTCCGGAGCTTCATGCACTCGGTCGATCCCTCCGCACCCCGCGGGTGCGGGGGCGATCGTCCAGCGTCCGCCCCGTCTCCGCCTCCCCGGTCCGGATCCGGGCGCGGCCTCCCCTTCCTCCCGGCTCCCTCCGAGATGGCGGACCGGAACGAAACCGAAACGGTGGTTCCGTCCCTGAAGCCTTCGCCCCTCTTTTCTCCCTCGGTCTTCTCCGCCGCTTCGTCGTACGCCTCTTCCCCGAGTTCCTCCCGGGTTCCCTCTTTYCGAGCAATCTATTCCGTCAACTACAACAACGKGAACAGGAGCGGGAGCCTCGGCATYGCAAGCAGCCCCCTGGTCCGTGCAAGGCTTCCACTGTTCGACCGACGAAGCGAAACACCAAGGACCCTTCTGGATCCCAAACGCGCAAGCATCACCCCTGGCACCGACAAAGGTGGCCGATGCAGCACCGGCAGCAGCAACAGCAACAGTTACAGCAACAGAAACAGCAACAAGAACCACAACTACCACCGCGGCGCGGAGATTTCACGCCTCCTCGAGGGCAACGAGCTCGACCCGCTCCAATGGGAGCGGTTCGTTTCTGCGAAAATCTCCAGCAGTGGCATGCTGCCCCGGGTGCCTACCTTTTGGGACGGGAGCCCCACAAGAAAGACCTGCGGTGGGACCTGGTCCACGCCCTCGGCGGCTCCAAAGGCAGGAGCAGAGGTTTCGACCCCCGCCGCTGCCCCCTGCGTCGCTACCCCCTCCACCGTCCACAATCCCACCACCAGCAGACGCGCGTGCCGTACCCCACCGTCTCCTCCCGGGCTCGCCGGCCTCGGCCCGGGAAACCATGGGACCCCTTCGCGCGGGCCTCCCGGAGAAGAGCKGGAGCGGCCMGGGGACGGCCTCGGGCAAATCCTGCGGGCAAAAGACGACGACGACGAGGAGGAGCGAGAATCCCCCGCGCCTCCCGTGGTGGTTGGCAAGGCCTGGGCTCCCCCGAMRACGCTCCTCCGTCCACAGGCATCGGTGGCGACCTCCATGGCGGCCTCCGTMTTGCTATCGTTCATGGTCACGACTGCATCGCCACCGGAATCTTCGTCTTCYTCGCCATCGCCGGGACCACCGCAGCGGGTCCTTCCGTGGAAGAGGCAGCACCCGGCAACCAGCGCGGCAAACACGGTGTTGGGGTACGATGCCGACGACGATGCCTCGGCGTGCACCGTATTGTTCGGTCCCGCAACGAAACGCCGCCGCAAGACAGMACCCYGCCGGATCTCCAACTTTCTCGAGCAAAACGAAGACGATCCTGCCACCACAGACGGAACGGGAGACCCGGGGAGACGGATTGCCGCCGAGCCACTCTGCGAGATCCGCAGCGGAAACCACGSCAATGCCCGRAGCACGTTCAAGAGTGGCAAAAGRCGCAAGAGTCGGACCGTATCGATTCCGACCTTCGAGGAGGAAACCGCCATCGTTTCCAAAGCTATCGAGTGGCCACCGCTTCTTGCCGGCTCGTCCGCGGCCCCGTCGTCCCCGGGGGATTACGGTCCCGTGGGATCCACTCTTGCTTCCCCGGGGAGGAGTAACAAGGCCAACACCCCCGCCGTTTCGCCGTCCTCTGCTTTCAAGCGCATCCCCCGGAGGTACCTCGACGACCCCACGCTTCCGATTCTGAGGGACGGGATGCGCCTTTCGGCACCCGACGACAAGGATCATCTCAACAGCCTCCATTGCTTTGTCCGAAAGGAACTCCTGGAGGTCTTTGTCCTCGACGACACCATCCAGCTMAAGGCAGAAGAGGACAGCGAGGTGCTTTCTGCGGACAAGAATTCGATACCGAAGAGAACCATCGGTCGCCCCCGCAAATCACGGCAGAGAGAGCAGCGGCAGCGGTACCAGCAAATCCACCGCGTCGGCATCCGCTGCGTCCACTGCGGGAGGAAACCCAAGTCGGAGCGGGGGGGAGTCACCATGAGCACCTTCTTCCCAAAGAGCCTAGAAGACGTCTACCGAGGAGTCTGTACCTGGCAGCGCATCCACTTCAAGGCCTGCCGGCACATGCCGGACYACTTCCGGGTCCTCTACAAGCACCACAAGGACTCGGACAAGTCCCGGGGGAAAAAGGCCCACTGGATTCGATCGGCCCTCGAAATGGGCTTCCGAAACGTCGATGAGCACCGGAGCGGGGTAGTCTGGACTGGRMAAAGGCCGGCAGATGCGACCAACCTTTCCATGGTCCGAACCCACGGCAAAAACGACCCGCTTCCCCGCCTTCGGTCCCCCGTGGCAGTGGCCCTGGATCTCACCAGACCGTCACCAGAACGGTACCAAAGCGATGCCCCGGGCCATTCCGGGGAACACCACGCCTCGGTGTGAAGGCCCGCCGTGGAATACAGACAAAAAATCAAGGAGAGGGGCCGSCGTTGCTCTGCCGTGGGGAAAACAATCGTGCAAACAGCACCGAGGGACGATCGACGGATCCATGTCGAACGAATCAATCAATCGGTCGGAGATTCATGATCGATTCTTTGGTTTCTGTGATCTGTTCAGCGTAGACGCACTACGCTTTGAACTGAGCTCGTGTAAAAAAAATGTATGTACACCGTCGTCCAACTTTTTGAAAGATCAAATCATTGCCGTAGTGTATTTTCTKTATTCTCTTCCATCAATCGATGATTCATTTTCTATTAGGTTTTCGTGGGAATGATTTTGGGCACTGGCCATATCGCAACGTACAATATTTACTAATAGTGCCGTACATAATTGCAGATGAAGACCATCTCATAGTACTACGTTCTCGTGCTCGTACGTACCTGCCGCACGTTCATGGTTAGGATCTCTAAATTTATCCCCTGTCCACGCCACGGTACGTACTGTACTCGTACCGTAGGGTGCGAATCAGATTACCGGACAGAGGTTCTGTACTGTCCGTATATACCATACATATCATACCACTCTATGGTACTACGTACAGGTACRAAAAAATACAATGCTTTACCTTATGTACGAGCAACTGGTACGAGTACGTACGTACTTGTACTTATTTGTGAGATAAACCCCAAAATTTGTACCTATCCTTCTWAGAATAGATAGTTATGATCATATATTTAAAAGTACGTCAGAGAAATGATCTTCGACTGTCTGCCCGCCCATCCACGGAACTTGATATTCAAATCTCGCGATCCATTTTGACGTCAGTTCAACTTTGTTACGCACGTAAAAACCGCACGATGTCGCGCACTAAAATCGTCGTTTGTTCCCGGTCGTTCGTGTGCGATCCTGTTTTGCGTTCTGCTCYCTTCTTTTCTGCACGTCGTTCGTGAAAACCTCACGTGCATTTCCGTGCTGCTGTGCAGGTTTCGTACGGGATGCGTCGTTGTTTTCCACATACGTGGTGGACCTTCATCTAGAAGTACAACACGCCCATCATCATCCGAATACTCAACTCTACGGCAGCAGCGCCAAAGAAAGTTGGGAACACCGCCTACAGAAACACTCTACAGACCCATCATCGTCATTCCACCAAGAGAGACATAGCCTGTTTATAATTTAATTAGTTATCAAAAAGAATAGATACCATGAAGCTCCTGTCACTGCTMGTCTCTCTTTTGGCCTCTGGCTCCTCTTTGGCCTTTGCTCCTGCAAAGATCGCCTCGACTCGCTCTGCTGCCGTTGCTCCTATGCAAATGGCCGCAAGCGAAGAATTGTACATCGATGAAGAGCGTCGATTCTTGATGAACTTGATCCTCGTCGGATCTGCCGCTGTCACTGTTGGTGCCATCGGTATCCCGTACATCCTCTTCTTCGTTCCTCCTGGTGCTGGAGGTGGCAGCGGTGGAGTCCCTGCCAAGGATGCTCTTGGTAACGACATCTTCGCCCAGGCCTACCTTYMMTCYAAGYCTGCCGGAGAYAGATCTTTGGCACAGGGATTGAAGGGAGATGCCACTTACCTTATYRTCAAGGACGATAACACYCTTGAAAACTACGGTCTTAACGCTGGTAAGTCGAAGGAATGCAACATGTGATGATTCGGTGTATGGTCTTCTTGGTTTCGTATCAATTTCTGTGCCAAGAGTGGAGTAAAATTCCTGAAAGTCCTCCTTAAATCATAACGAAGCAATGACTAACATTCTGATACTCCTCTCTGCATTCAAAMAACCAGTCTGCACTCACTTGGGTTGCGTTGTCCCATGGTCTGCCGCCAACAACAAGTTCATGTGCCCTTGCCACGGATCCCAATATGCCCCTGACGGACACGTCGTYCGTGGACCTGCCCCTCTTCCCCTTGCTCTTGCCCACTGTGACACCGCCGAAGACGGAAAGATCACCTTCRCTCCTTGGACCGAGGATGATTTCCGAACCGGAGGCAAGGGATGGTGGAACTAAACTAAGGCAGGCATTTTTCTCGTGCACGTACACGTTGCTAGCCTTGGTCAAAGAWATTATATCCCACCTCGAACATTATAGATAGTCCTACTCAAACCTATCGATGTATAGTACATTTTACAAGAGTGAAAATCAKCCTGAGAAAGATCTGTTACTCGTCTAGATTGTCCTGTGTCCTCGATTTAGTTTCAAAAAGTTGAACCYGTACGATTGTCCGATATTATGTAAACAGAACGATTGACGGCGTAACACTTCAGAGCCGGCAAAATCGATTATTAGATCACTTGCCACTCAATCGGCTTGAGAATAAAAAAGTCTTGTGCTTGGTGTTTATCATCATGCAAGTATGAGTACGGAAAGGTCCTTGTGGTACCTCATGAGGCAAAGTGTCTGATCGTACCGAAAACAGTAGATGGCTAAAATATATTCTGCCATCAATGGAKACTAGTTTCGTCGCTCAGCTCTATTTCGAATCTGAATAAAAAGTTATCGATTGTCTCTACAGTAGTGGCAGTAGCAGCACGGTGCATGCACACCCAGCGCACAATAGTTACTACAGAATCATGTCGGCATCCGACTCCATAATATCTCCCGCCTCGAAAGCTTCTCCCTTTTCTTTAGTCCCGGAAGGTATTTCTCTGCCCGGTCCGACCTGGCAATCGTTTAGGCTGCAATTATTTCCGAGCTTCGCGCCGTATCCGATGATGGTGTTTTGTAGGGAACACTGTTCGCCGATCAMAACGCCGTCCATGATGACAACGTTGTTGAGGCGGCATTTGGCGCCTAGCGTACAGGATCTTCCTACTGTCGAAGACTTCATGTTAATTTTGGAGCCAAGGGTCGATCCTTCTAGCGTCAGGGTCTGGAACTTGCCGTTTCGTTTCGAACCCGCTGGGATACGAACGTCGGAGTCTTCCTCGGAACCGCAACTGGCTACGGCCTCCTTGCAAGCAAAGAGGTACGCGGGCACCGTGTTGGCCCGGAGCACCGTCTTTGCCGGGAGGACGACCGCCAGGACGGAATATGGTTCGTTGTCCATAGCAGCTTTCGGGAGCCCTGATGATTTTGCTGCTTTGTTCGAATTCTCTCCGTTYTCGCTGTCTTCGTTGTTCGTGGTGGACGACGTCGATTCCGCCGAGCCGCTGCCCTTGTTGGCAGCAATGTTTTCGGCACCGGCAGCGCTGGTGGTAGCCGGATCTTCGGAATCGCTCTCGCTGCTCGCCATGACTCCGCCATTGTCGTCACCACTCTGTTTCGTTTGCAGCGATGCTAGAACCGACTTGCCAAAGGTAGCTTGTTTCCCGCGATATTGTCTCGATATCAATAGAGGGACTAGTCCTTCCTGGATGGAGGAAAAGCTTTTGAAATTCTTGGCCCTCTCCACGATCAATTGTCGCACCCATGGAGCCAGGGAATACACGTGAACGTCGCTCCACTCGGTCCGGATTACCAATTGCTCCCCTCCGTTGGAACCGCGCAGCCTGGATTTCGGGATTACTAATTTCGGGGTCGCACCGGTGTTGTGCTCGTCAACCTCAACGTCTTTTTTCAGCTTTTTCAAAACGATCCGGGGGAGAGACGGTTTGTTGCCACCGCTGCTGCTTCTGCTCAACCACGATGAAGTCGATGATCGATTTGGAGGGAATGACAAACCAATGTATTCGATGACTTCTTCGTCGCGTGACAGGCCACCCTTTTTGGTCTTTCCATTGGTTTGAAAAAATGGGGAAAGTGGCAATCATTCACACCATTGATAGAATCGACTTCGTGTCAGTAATGTGAAAAAAAGCTAGCATGCCATTCCAAGTGCGGRTGCGATTGCGCGTGATATTATTCTCTGCGTCGGCATCGTTGCGTTCCTTCAAAGAAATGTCTCAATAAACTCACCTTGGCAGACTCCTTGATGGGAAGCCCGTGCTCGTCTTGCTCCAGAACGTCTACTAGCATTGCCGTGCATGCTACGTCTGCGGAGGCCGGCCGTATCAACGCGTCGAAAAACTTGGTGTCTTTCTTCAGGATGACCAAATCTCCCGGAAAGACAACCAGCCGGGTTTCGGGATGAATCAATTTGGTTTCCTCGATGGTCCGGAGCGCATCGATGGAACCGTTGCAGTTTTCTGACAACTTGACCAGGTGTATTCTTTGCCCCCGCTTCAATTCCGATTTGAGTTCCCAGCAAAGGGCTGGGCAAGCATCGTTGTTGGACGCCGTCCTCACCAACGACTGCTGCTCCGGTGGTCCCTCGACGAGGGATGCCACGGCTTTGTCTGTATTGCTGTCGGTTCCCAGTAACGTCGGCAGGGTCTTGTTGTCGCCCTCTTCCACGGCGATCACGATCTGTGAAAACGCCGACATCGATTCAAGGAGCCTTACGATCGATGGCAAACCCGCCACCGGCAACAGATGCTTTGGCCTGTCCTTTGTCATGGGCAAGAGGCTTCCGCCCTTCGACGAGGCCAAAACCACAGCGCAAGCCCTGGCATGCGTATTGAAAAACGGCGGCGTCATCTCGATCTGGTTGTACGATATCTTTCCCTCTTGTTTGTACAGGTAGTGCTTTCGTTTCTATCGCGACAGCTCTTTGTTTCTTGCTTTCTTTTCCTTCCGTTTCCTCGTTGGGATCCTTGAATACGTTGCACAGCGACGAAAACTCGGACCGGTAGGTAAGTACGAGTACTGTTTCATAAAAGTTTGGAGTTTGGACGAGCAAGGAGTAGGAGAGACGAATACAAATACGAGCACTCGTTACCGGTAGCACAATTACCAATTACGATCATCATCATATTCGTTTCACACCTACGGTACACATCACAACGAGTTCGGTACTTGTACGCCCTGTACAAATAGTACGGTACCTTTCTCCCATCATCGCATCGCATGACAGACCAACCGGACCTGGATAGATCATTGGGGTGCTACTACTAGTAGAGCTCAGTGCAATCAAAAAGTGAATGCCAAAGGGGGGAAAGTACTGTGAACAGAATGAAATGACCAGAATGAAAAACTCAAAACCACTCTAGCTGATGTTTGTTGTTTCAAACATATGAATGGAATCCATTGATTTCTTCTTGTTGTTTTTGCAAGGAATGTTTCTTGGTGGCACCATTTTCTTCCTCTTCCTCTTGTTGCTGATTGTTGTTCTTCTTCTTTGTCTGCATTCCTCTTCTTCTTGTTGTTGATTCTTCTTTTTGTAGTGGTGCAGCACCAGGCAGAGTAACAAATACTAGTAGAAGAAGAACAAGTGGTCATTATATTCTGCTTGCAAAAAGGCCAACATCAGCCATCCGATTGCTTCTTGTGCAAGAACAACAACAAGACCATGGTGTTGAAATCAACATAGTTTCAAAGATCTTGAGTTGTTCCCTGTACTACAATTTTGTGGACAACTCTTGTTCTTGCTTTGGCAAGAATGTTAATTGGAAATTGATTGAACTGTATTCCTTTGACACTTCCTGTTTTCTTACAATTCATACTTATATTCTTTAGGACATAAGATGTAGCTACTAGTGGGGTACTAGTAGCACTAGCAAAGTTTTCTACTACTAGCAGTATCATTTTAAGTCATCACTTTTTTTACTCTTCTTCTTCTTCAAGAAGGACCACCTGCTCTATCTATTCAACCTTCTTGCACCACCAGCTTAAACAAACTGAACAAAATATCAATCAATAGTACAATCCTGGTACCTCTTTTTTGGGTTTGCAGACTTGACCATTCACATCATAGTTTCATTTGTTTTAGATTTTCCAGGATTTATGATGTTGCCACTGCTGATCATTACATGTGKTCTAACACAATGATACTATGTCTTAAGCATTGGATTGATCCTTTTTAGATCTGGTTCCAACTTCCAATATCAGCATCTGGTGATGAAGCAGGCATCACTACTAGTACTACTAGTAGTAAAAAGCAAGATTTCTAGAGAGCTGGCATGATACTTCAGTATTATTTGAAGTCTGAATGCAACAAATGCAGTCATAGGATACCAGTAGTGAGCCTTGGACAGCAGGTCTGTGGACCTACTAGGTATTTAGTAGGTATGAATCTACTACTATGCTGTACTACTACTTACTACATACAATCCACATGGCATCAAGAATACCCATCTTGAGATCTGAGAATACTAGTAGTATATGACAATTGAGAATACCTACATGACACTGTTGTTGCAAGAGCAGAAAGCTGTAGATCAATAGTAGTACTGACATCTACAGCAGGGAATATAAACACGCTAGTAAATATATCAACACTGTAACAAGCATTACTAACACTAGTAGATATAATATGAATGCAGTGTGTTGACACTTTAGATTGATACCAAAATAATCATTTTCATTTTCATTTACACCTGTTTGTTTCCTCATTAACTGAAACTTTGATTACAATGGTGAGATCTAAGAAGATTTGTCTTTCTTCAAGTGTTTTTTGAGTGTGTTCTTCTTGTTTTGAGAAACTTGGAAAAAATTCCTTCTTTAATTTCACTTTTAACTRTAGTAGTAGTACACCACTTGTCTGTATGATATTCTTCTTCTATGTTGCATAAGGAAGAAGCATTATCATAATCCTTCAAGAGTTCATTTCAAGGTGTGACAACCTGTGAATTGATTGTTTTAATATTGTCTTTTTGTTCAATAAATTTGTCCAAAAATTATCAAGAACAAGAAGCTTCTCCCAAGTTACATCATTTTTAAACCTATTGCTTGTTTAAAGTTCAACAAAAGTGATCTGATTACAGTTTTCTCTCTCTCTCTTGAAACATTGAAAAGAAAAATGACAAGAGGAAGCAGGAGGGGGCGGTCTCCTCACCCTGGTCTGAGTTCTTGAATTGCTAGTAGTAGAGAAATTATATCATATTTTGTTGTCACATAATTGTGAGTTGAGATACTCCTTTGATCTTTTATGTGTTGTCTTGCCATTCTTCTTGATACTACTACTAGTAGTACTAACTTTTGCTGTTGTAGTCACACCTCCTGCTGCAACAGCATTTTTTACCAGGGGTTAAATTTTACAGGGGCACACAAGAATTAAAAACTCATATTCCACATGCAGTGTCCTAAGTTTCAAAAAAGGCAAGCCCCGTGTGGATTTTCTTCGATCTCCTTTTTACTGCATAATATCACTGGTAAAACTATTCACTTTCAATTACTTGTAATAACTTTATCAAAAATGCTAATAATAATTTTTGACCAGCCTGTCTATACCAGTTTTTAATAAGGATCCTGAATATACTTCTTTCCCCTTGTGAAAATCTTGCAAAGCACATATCCTGACATAACCTAGCCCTGGTATGCTCATRATGCAGCTACRCAAAGACAGGTATCATAGATTGTYGGAACAATGAAGCTACTTCCATCACAGCTTGGCCCTGYCWATGGACATTTTCCAAAGCATTTTCCAGRGCTCTCAAAGAGTGTCTTCATTGGYCACCCAGCCCTCTGTAAATTGTCCTRAGACGCCCACAAAAAAGAKTTTTCAAGTTCCTTRATGGCCATTGCTGCATTTGATGCTTCATTGGCACCAAGAGATGCTTCAAYCAGCAAGCCTCAGATCAAGAAATAGGTCAAAGGGGTTYGTTTGTTGTTGGCTGGTG